TTTTTTTTTTCCTGGAGCTACTGCTCTACCCAATCTGAAACTACTTCTTGTTCCCGAGCTTCACTAAGTTTTTCAGTCAGTTCTTCTAAAGCCATTTTTGTTTTGGCATCTGACTGGCTTCTTTGGGAAAGCTCCCTTTTGAAGTCTACTCCAAAGTAAACTTGTTCACTGCTGAGGTCTCATTTGGATAGCATGAAGCTGGACATGTCTCCTGAACAAACCAGACACCAGTTCTGGATCTACTTTATTTAGTGGATCCTAGTCTTGAGAGATGAGGTAGGTGGAAAATGGTGGCTCTCTGTCACAGTGTGACCATCAAGGTTACTTGTACTCAGACTTGTAACAGAAATACTTCTCCCTCCTGAGTTTCTTAGTAAATATTCACTCTGTAAGTGGCTTTTGATTGTTTCAAGATTTCTTTGAACTGTTAAGTACTTGTTACAGTGTTGACTTTCTCACTAACATCTACTGCAGGATGACTTCAAGTTTCTTTGTGAGTTGACCTGGAAGCCCATTGACTCAATTAGTCATGATACCAGAAATGGCCTGAATCACTGGGCAATTCTGCTGTTGGCATATACACATTCCAAAGAAGGATTACATGCTTTTAATAATTCAGAACAACACTTTTCAGGCATGCATTTCACTGTTATACACACACACACAATTTTCCACTATTAGTTTTAGTTACTTTGAGTGATAAAAGGTGTTCAAAGTCTTTTGTCTAATGGAACTCATTGTACACCCCTAAAACTCTTGTGTTGCTCTCCTCTAAGCTCAGTGCTTTTCTTAGGCACATGTCTTTCTTTTATCACTTCCTCATGGGGTCCAAGGCAAAAAGACTAGATAAGATGATCTTTGGTCACTTCTGCTCTTTCCCCAAACTACCTGAGACAGAAAATAACTCCTGGCTCTTAATGCTTGATCACTGAGGTCCTACCTGGATCCCACAACTACCATTGATAGAAAGAGAGGGAAAGGGAGAGGATGAGAATAAAAATGAGAATATGAATGTGCTCTTGAGGCTTTTCTTTTGCAGCAGATCACTAGTATTATTCACCTAGGGGCCTCATTGTATATCCTATTATAATCTTAATTGCTTCCTTAAAGTTCCTGTCTCCAAATAGAGTCACATTGGTTAGGGCTTCAAAGCAGTTTAGTCCCTACTGGGTTTCTTGTAATTTGAGCCCTATTTTCTATTATCCCTTTGTCCTTTTTCATTTTCATTCCTGATTTTGATCAGCTATTGCCTCTTTAGTTCCCATTCACTCCAAGGCCCTTCTCTTTGATTTCCCAGCAGCCCAAGCTGTGAGCCACCTGAACTGAGACATTACCTCAGTATTTTCTCACTCAGAGAGGAAGTATTTCTGGAAGTATTTTCAATCATTTCTAGACTCTGTGTCTCCTTTTTTTTTGTGATCATCATCGTCCCCTGAGTCTTCGTAGCTATGGGTTGACAGTTTCTTCTATATTCAAATATTTCCTTACTTAATGGTGATTTGAATATTGTAGTACTGTAAGTCCATCTTATTCACAGATTTATTACACATAGTTTTGACCAATTGCAGTAAAAAGTATACATATGCATATTTAAATAAACAGAGAACTTTTCACAAACAAAAATTTTAAATTCCCATGAGAAGCTCTCAGTCCCGTTATCGTCAAATGTGTTTAAATCCTGTGATCTGCTGAGTGTTTCCCTGCCCTTAGGTTTGTGAAAATATCCCTCCCCAGAAGCAAATGGTGGTTAATTACCAGGGCAAAAATTATGGTAATTCTCCCAAGCCAAAAAAAAGGGCATGTAATATGCTTAATTTAAGTGAGAAAGTAAAAGATTAAGACTTGTTGAAAGGCAGCATGTCTTTATTGAAAGTTGGGTGGTATTATGGGAAGAATGAGTAAAGCATCCACAGCACAGTATTGAACTCTATGCATCTTGAGCATTTGCAGTTTTTACTCAATAGTGGTCTCCCTGGCAAAATATACCTGTGGATACCAAGTATCTACTGTATTCTCTGTCTCCTAGTTAGACTAAAGTAATAATTTGTTGTAGTTAATGCTATTTTCTCTCTTTATATTAACGCTTATAATTTTTTGGAGGATTAATGAAGAGATCCAGTTTACTTTTCATACATTAGAACCCAAATATGTGTATGCTAATAGCCAGATTCTTCTATATCTTTATGCTATATTAGCCTTTTTGCTTATAGTTATGATTTTTTTCACTTTATACCCACATAGTAGGAAAAAATGTACATGGCAATTATTTTCATTCTTGGAAATTGGACCAGAAAACCACCGTCAACTATTTCATATGATATTTGTATAGAGGTCTCATTCTATGAGAGATGTGCTTGTGTTTATATAATAAGATTAATTTTTCTTGTAGAACTTTGGAAAGCTGATCAGTTGAAGGAGAGGAGCCAAGAAAACCAACTTAAACATTTTTGGGAAGTTGTATTCATCGATAACAAAATGCTAGTGAAGGAACAAGGTAATGTAATGGGAAAACCATTTAACTTGGACAAAAATTCATTTCCTTCCACAAAAATAGTCTGTCACTGTGACTTATTTGGAGTGAGTTTCAACAGAATTTCAGAGTTGGTTATTATTAGAAAAACCTTCAGAAAAGAACCTGATGAACTTAATGGTTGTGGAAAATTGCTACTCAAAATTAAACCCGAGAAAACTCATACTAGGGAGAAAAGTGAATTTTTGAAGAATAGGGCTACTCACAGTTATCATGAGGCTCCTATTCCGCACGAAAAGATTCAAACCTTAGAACAAACTTTTGAATATAATGTGGGTCGGGAAGCCTTCTTGGAAAAGACACTGTTCAACCCACACAAGAGTGAGAGCAAAGAAGAGAGAGACTGTGAAGGCAGTGAATATGGGATAACTGTTTGTGGAGACTCATCCCTCCTGTTCCCTCAGATACCTCCCTCTGAGGAGAATCACTGCAAGTTTAGTGATTATGAGGAATCCTTCTGTGGGAAGTCTACTCTCAAACATCATGGGGTACATATGAAACATTGTGAATATAATGAAAGTGGAAATAATTTCAGGAAGAAGTTATGTCTCTCACAACTTCAGAAAACTCATAAAGGAGAGAAACACTTTGAGTGTAATGAATGTGGGAAAGCTTTCTGGGAGAAGTCACATCTCACTCGACATAAGAGAGTGCACACAGGAGAGAAACGCTTTCAATGTAGTGAATGTGGAAAAACTTTCTGGGAGAAGTCAAATCTCACTAAACATCAGAGGTCACACACAGGAGAAAAACCCTATGAATGCAGCCAGTGTGGGAAAGTCTTTAGCCACAAGTCAGCCCTCACATTACATCAGAGAACACATACTGGGGAGAAACCTTATCAGTGTTCTGCATGTGGGAAAACATTTTATCAGAAGTCAGACCTCACTAAGCATCAGAGAACACACACGGGGCTGAAACCCTATCAATGTTATGAATGTGGTAAATCATTTTGTATGAATTCCCACCTTACCGTGCATCAGAGAACACACACAGGTGAGAAACCTTTTGAATGTCTGGAATGTGGGAAATCCTTTTGTCAAAAGTCTCATCTTACACAGCATCAGAGAACTCACATAGGGGATAAACCCTATGCATGTAATGCATGTGGGAAAACTTTCTACCATAAGTCAGTACTCACCAGGCATCAGATAATTCATACAGGATTGAAACCTTATGAATGTTATGAATGTGGGAAAACCTTCTGCTTAAAGTCAGACCTTACAGTGCACCAGAGAACTCACACAGGGGAGAAACCCTTTTCATGTCCTGAATGTGGGAAGTTCTTCAGTCATAAGTCAACCCTTTCACAACATTTTAGAACACACACAGGGGAGAAACCCTATGAATGTCTTGAGTGTGGAAAAATCTTTTACAATAAATCATACCTAACTAAACATAATAGAACACATACTGGGGAGAAGCCCTATGAATGCAATGAATGTGGGAAATCTTTCTGCCAGAAGTCACAGCTCACACAGCACCAGAGAATTCACGTAGGGGAGAAACCTTATGAATGTACTATATGTGGAAAAGCTTTCTGCCATAAATCAGCTCTAATTGTACATCAGAGAACCCATATAGAAGAAAAGCCCTATAAATGTAATGAATGTGGAAAATCTTTCTGTGTGAAGTCAGGACTTATTTTGCATCAGAGAAAACACACAGGGGAGAAACCCTATGAATGTAATGAATGTGGGAAATCCTTCAGTCACAAATCCTCCCTCACAGTACATCACAGGTCTCACACAGGGGAGAAATCTTGTCAATGTAATGAATGTGGGAAAATCTTTTACCGTAAATCAGACCTTGCTAAACATCAAAGATCACACACAGGAGAGAAGCCCTATGAGTGTAACATATGTGGGAAAACCTTCTCTCAAAAGTCAAACCTCATTGTACATCAGAGGATACACACAGGGTAAAAGTCTTTTGATGAATTGTTTATTAGAAATGCTCAGCCACAAGTTAGCACACTATACTTCAGAATATACACACTGGAGAAAGTTCTATTGGCCTCTGACTGTTTAATAACATTCATCTGCAAACTGGACTTAATTTATTCCACAGCACTGATGAAACAAATTGCATGTCATGCTTTGTTAAACAGTGAAATCCTAACTTAATACTGTTATAAAACTTCCAGATTTTTTTGAATTTGTAAACATTTATAGGAAAAATGTAAACTAGATTTTATCAGTTTATAGTTCATAAATGAATCTATGAGATAATTTGAATATTTTACTTAGAAATAATGTAATACTTACACATTTTTTTGGGTTTGATGCTATAATCGTCTTTAGAAAATATAAATAGTAATTTATAGCTATATGTTGTGGAATGTAAATCTTTAAAAACTTATAAAGTGATAAATATATAAATTTGCAATAACATACAGTAAAAGTACAGAGAATTTTGCTGTACCCTTCATCAACTTTATTCTAATGATAATGTTATATAACTATATTGTGAAGATAAGAAATTGTTATTATGCAAGCTCAAATATAGACTTTATTCAGATTCATCAGTTTTTACATGCATCCTCCCGTGTTTTCTGTGTAGCTTTACCACTTGATTTGAGTGATCACAACCACCAAGTCACACAAATAAGAACCTGCAGTCAGTATTGCAAATAAATCTGAATCAAGGTATAACTTCAAGGAATTTCCATTTGTTAAACAACCTTTTCTGCAACTCTAACCCTGGGGATAATTTTAATCTGAAGCTTTGAAAAAGCATAAGTAAATGGATAATCTATGCGACAGCATTAAATACATGTGAGAAGTTTCTCTAATATGTGTAGGACTTGTGTGTTCAAGTGATAAGTTGTATAAAGTGTGTATGTGTTCTGGCTGGGTATGTAACTCAACTTACAGAGTGCTTGCTTAGCATGCACAAGGCCCCTAGGTTCAATCCCCAGCATCATGGGGGAAAAAGTGTGTGTTTCATATGTACAATTTAACTTAATATAATTGTGAGTAGGAAATAGATACCTCTAGCTTGGTAGTTGTCACATTAGACCCATCTTCAATGTTTTTAAGACCCAGAATAGCAGTTTATGTGTAACTCTGCAGAACTAATATCTAATCATTGAAAAACTATAAATGAAAATGTTAAAGAAACAGTATTCTGTACAAGTGCAGCCCCTAGATCCTATTCCATATTCCTCCTTGGTGTGTGTACGTAAATTTTTGTCTAAGCCTCTAAACAGCTGCCCTCTAAGACATGGCCTTGAGGAAAGAGGCCCACACATGCAGACCAGATGCTACTAAGGTGATATTGGGCTGTAAATTCAGAGGTCCAGTGTATCCAGGCAGGGATGTGGGCTGTCAGAGACTTGACAATATGAAAAAGAGGGTTAAGTCTGGAACAGAACCAGAAATGAGCTAGAGTAGGGTTTTTATTGACAAAGTAAAGGTTGTATACTGTATTGTATATTATATTCTAAAACTAATACAGTATTACACCATCTAATGATCTTAGCTTACTTACGTAATCTTCAGCCTTCTGAAACTAGAAAATGAAGACCCATTTAAATTCAAAGTAAGCAGGAAAAAAAGAATAAAAATTAGTGAAATTGAAAAAAAATCAACAAAACCAAAAAGTGGTTCTTTGTAAAGTTCAATAAAATTCTTTATACGTTAACTATATTAAAAGACAAGACATAAAGCCACACATGATGTCATATGCCTGTAATTCCAGCATTCAGGAGGCTGAGGTAGGAAGATTGTGAGTTTAAGGCCAGCCTGGGAAAGAAACTGTCTCAAAAAAAAATTTAAAAAACACAAATTAAAAAAAAAAAAAAAAACCACAAATTGACAAATATCAGAAATGAAAGAAGGGCCATATCTACCAATCCCGCGTAAATTAAAAGGATTATATTGGAATATTATGGACAGCTCTGCGCATAAACTTGGCAATTTAGATTAAATGGAGCAATTATTTTAAACATGCATTCTACCAGAATTCATGTAAAGATAAGCTTTGTTGGTAAGCTTATTAAGAAATGGGCATACTTTTTAAATTGAATCAGTATTTAATAACCTTGCAAAAACAAAAAATTCCAGGACCAGATGGGTCCACTGCTAAATTCTACCAATCAAACCAGGTAGAAATGCTACCCGTTCCTTAGAGTTTTTCCAGAACGTAACAGTAGTGGGAACACTTCCTTACTCATTCCATGTGGCAAGCATTATGGTAAGACACAAACTAGACACAACCAGAAAGGAAAACTACAGGCTAATATCTGTCATGAAAATAGATGCAGAAATTCTCAACCAAATATTAACAAATCAGTTCAACAATATATTAAGAAAACAATACACCACAATTACATAGGGTTTATTGTCAGTATATGAGGCTGGTTAAATGTTCAAAAATTAGTAACCTGTCACATCAAGGTCGAAGATGAACTGTCATATCGATAGATGCAGGAAAAGCTTTTGACAAAATCCAAAAGTCATTCATGATAAGACTCAGCAAATTAGGAATGCACGGGAAGTTCACCAACATGGTAAAGAATTACTAACCTACAGCCTTAAATCTGAGTGCTCTCTGGCTAGGATCATGAACGGTGGAAGGGTGTCCTTTCTTATTACCAGACCAAGTCCAGCTTCTCACTTCATGACATACTGATTAATTTGAGAGACAGGTGTTGAGATAAGGAAGGTAACATTATTTCCATGTTTGGCTAGAGACTAAGGGGACCTTTGTCACAAAGTTGGCTTGTTCAGAAGCTAGGTGTGGTCTATACAGGTGGTTGATTGGTGTTCCCGTACTCATGGGCACCTTCTCACAGCAGGAGTGCAGGATGATGTAAATCTGATCCTTATTGCCGAGTCATGAGATGTTTTTAATATTCTGCAAATCTCAAAAACAAAGATCATTTCCTTGGGCTATTCCTATCACTGATTAGTTACATACTATACAATGAACAAGCTAGACTGCGGTGAATAGCTTCCCAAGGCCCTCTTACAATAATGAGTGTAAACATCTTTAACACTTGGCATCAATTCCAGTGTTATATGTCAAGATTACACAATCTTGTGGGGTTGGGTCAATCTCTCAGATCTGGTTACTTCCTTCAGAAGAGTAACACCACAAGGGGAATGAAACAAACTGACCTGATGGAACTTGAATACTGGCAATTTTTGTGTTGGCAAATTTCTCTGCTTAAAGAAAAAAAACATACTCAATGAGTACTCTCCAAACAAATTTTCTCTGAAGGAGAAACTGGGAATTTTAGCCCTTAGAATCTTACCCCATCAAACCATTATGGGTTTTGTGGACCCAAGGAAGGTAGGTACACATGACTATTAAATCCCCCCAATTAGCGATAGCTCAACTCTAACCATCCTCAGCAAGAGGATGACTATCAAATGACTATTAAATCCCAAACAGTAGGGAGTGCTCATCTCACATCAGTCCATCATTGCTAGTATCAGGTAAACTACACATGGTTAGGTTTCATTGTTCAGGGCCATTAGTTTAGTGCACAAGTTAAATACTTGTAAGTTGAGTCACTACAGTTATGAAACATAAATCTGGTTAGAGTACCAAAATGCTGATTAATACCCAAACACTTTCTCCTTCCTTGAATTTCTCTTTTCATTTTAGTGGAGGCCCCTGTTCTGAAAATTGCAGCCTTATATGCCCATTCCTAGTCATGTGGTCCTAACCAAAGTTAACCAAGATGTAACAACTTAAATTTAAATTACACCTGAGGGTATCTAGGATCTGACATCATAACTGAACACAATTTAAAATCCATACTACAGTGTTATCCTTCATCACAATAGCCTCATAAAGCAAATATAAAACATAATGTCGATAGGGATCAAAGGCTCTGGCTTTTCTGGAGCTCTTTCATAACAAACAGTCCACCTATTAGTCAGTTAGTGGTCTTCAGTTTTTTAGAAACACTTGGTCCCCAGTGGTGAATGGTGCAAAGTTTTTTTTCCTGTGGAAATCTGGACCTGGCAGAAGCAAAATTCTGCACACTAATAATTGCCAATACTTTTTTTTTTTCAAATGCAGTGGGAGAGTTTTTGCTTGCCCTCCTCAGGGTCCTGTACAGAACTTTAAAATCAGAGTACAGCAGGACTTTAAAATCCCCTGCCTGATATTCTGGCTATCTCACTAGTATCAACTAAAAAGTCAGTTTTTTCCCCACTGTCAGTGTACCCATGGCTCCTGTGAGGAAATGTGACCCCTAAGTCTGTGGGGGTTCTTGGGCCCTTTTATTATTTTCCTCCTTCAGAGGCAGCTTCCTGACAAAATTGGGTTCCCTGACTAGGTGTACAGACTGTGACTGTTTTCAAATGTACCCTTTCTGGTACATTTTTCTTTGGCCACCCTGGGCTACATAGTGAGTTGGAGGCCAACCTGGGCTGCATAGCAATAGACTGCCTCAAAAAACAACAACAAAAAAGAAAAAGTTCTGCTGGGCATGGTGGTACATACCTATTTTCCTCAGCTACTCACGTGGAGGATAGTGGTTCCAGTCCAACCTAAGAAAAAGGTATGAAGACTCTAGCTCAGAAAACAAGCTGGACACCGCAGCACTTGCCTGTGAGCTCAGTTTTTCTGGAGGCCGAGGTAGGAGGATTGTGGTTCAAGGCTGGCCTGATCAGGTATAAAACCCTATCTAAAAACCAACTAAAGCAAAAAGGACTTGGGAGCATGGCTCACAGGGTAGAGTGCTTAGAGGACCTGAGTTTAAACCCCTGGTACTGGAAAAAAAAAAAAAGGAGGAAGAGGAGAAGGGGGAGAAGCAGGAGGGGAAGGGGGGAAGGGAAGGAGGAGGAAGAAAGGAAGGAAGAGGAATGAAGGAGGGAGGGAAGGAGGAAGGGAAGAAGGGGGAGGGAGAGAAAAGAAGAAAAGGAAAGTGAGGGAGAAAGAAGGGAGAACGGGAGGGAGCAAGAAAGGAAAAGATCTCATTAAAGGCTTCTTTCAAGAAAAGTATGATGGCTTCATTGAACTTATTCAAGACTCTTACTGATATGTGCAGTTAATATGATAACATCACACTTGAAGCATGAATTAAATAGAAAGCTAAGAGAGCTCTTAATTTCTTTGTGGAAAAGTAGCAAAACATTTCCATTGTTTATAAGCTGCAAACTTTCAAAATTATTGCCTGTC